TCCTACTCCTCCGTGTCCATCGGCAAACACTGAGTCACCTCCCTCCCTTCCAACAACACCTCCTCTCCTTGTCCAAGTGCTCTGTTCACGTCCCTTCCTTCCGTTTCCTTTCCACCTGCTTCCCTCAAGGACCGGATGGTCGGTCTACTGTATCGTGAAAGAGCACTACTCAATAAAGTCACTTTTTTTTGCAATGCCAGTTGTCTTATTTTACCTCGCTACTGTAGGAAATGCAAACTATGATGATTTATGATCCACATGCGAATAATAGAACGGTTGAGAGGAATATAAGCTAATAGTTCAACAATGCTTTATTTTAATGAAACTAATTTGTTGGCTATCATGAAAAAATAAAGAAAATTGCCTCGATAATCATGTTATGAAACAACTACAATGTCTAGCACAATTTAATACAGTCCTTCTGGACTTTGAATGTACTTTATGAAAGGTTTTAAAATTATGAAAAACAATTCAAATAAGTAGTGGAAGTTCTATTAAAAATTACGCAATATTATGCAGCAGAATTCTGAAAACAAAGGTAATATACAAAAAAAAATTAAAATAAACACCACATTACTATTAATGACATAATTTGAGAAATAGAGCCATGAAGCATCATTACTCATTTCAATTGGTCAACGATAATTCGAAAAATATGGAAGTCCTCAGGTTTTTTTACGGAAGGTACTACAGTCAGACAAAAATAGATCAGTTAATGTTTATTTTACAATTACGAAAAATACTTGCTCCATGTTTTTTAGAGAAATTTCCCCACATAGACGCGTCGAATGACACCTCATTTGTCTCCATTGCTGGACCGGACGGAGGACGGGCGCAGGTTACTCGATTACTACATAACGGGAGTCCGCTCTAAGCTGTGGAGGCGAGCACATTGCGATAAATAATCAAACCTCCCAATTTAAAATTTTTAAAAACGATAGATATAGAACAAGCAATACCACAACTAAATTATTAGTACAATTAAATCACTAATCAAGAACAAATGTCTTAATAGCAATAGAACAACAAAAGACAAAATGCGTAAATCTATTTTGGATATAATAAGAAACAAAAATAAGAAAAAAGACGACTTTGGTGTATCATTAGATTACCACAATTAAAAAAAGAATTTAATTTGTTAAATGCAATAACTAAAAAAGAAATAACTAACTACAATAATTCAAAGTATAATAATCTAATTCAATCTCTTACTACAACAAATAATACACTATGGCAATTTACTATAAAGATTTAAACAATAAAACGCACACCCCACCACTGAGTTCTAAATCAGGAAAAAAGCTCGCACCTATTTACAAAGCAAAAGAACTGGCCAATCATTTTTAGCAACCATTCACTCCTAATAATACCCCACCATACCCAGATCATAAGATTATTCACCTGGCGACATCCCCTAACTACAATGTTCCACACAAAATTAAGTTAATCACCACAGCGAAGTTAAAACTATTATGAACAAACTCCCATATTAAAAAAGCCCCAGAACACAATGAAATAAGCAACATAATATTAAACAAATCTACCCACTCTCTCGATAGCTTATTTAATTAACATATATAATTCTATAATTAGAACAGGTTACTACTCAATTGCATGTAAGAATTACAATATAATTCTTGCACCAAAGCCAAACAAAACCCGAAGCATTTTTCAAAACAACAGACCAATTAGCGTTCTCTCATCATTTTTAAAAATTCTTGAAAAACAAATACTCAAAATATTAAATGCTCATTTGAATAAAACCCAATATATACTATATCAAAATCAGTTGTTTCCGGGCTTGAAGGCCGTGGTCCAATGACTGGACAGTCAACGCGGCGCTGCCAACAAGGACACTTCGCCCCCGCCAGCAACGCCACTGAGGATGCCTGCCACAGCTGCAGGCGAAACGTATGGACAAGTCTCCATTGGACCACGGCCTTCAAGCCCGGAAACAACTGATTTTGATATGGAAACCGGCCGTGAAAGCCTACATTGTATGCCAATATATACTCTTTAACCAATATAGATTAAACAGCAAAGAATCTAATTCAAATCATCTTCTCAGACTTTTCCCACACATCCATACAGCTTTCCAAAACACAAAAACAAATAATATCCACATTCATTGACACATCACCAGCATTTGACAGAGTATGGCACCCCGGGTTGATATACAACCTCCAATCACGGACACCCAAATACTGAATAAAGGTAAGTAAAAACCATCACAGATAGAACATTCACTGAATCAGTTGAAAACCACTTCTCCAATTCTGGAAAAATTATAGCAGGAATGCCTGAAGGACCTACGCTTTTCACTCTTTATACAGCAGACATACCCATTAGATACCACTAACACAGCACGATTCGCTAAAACCACATACGCGGCACAGTATAGCGTAAGTCTAGCTATTCAATCCATCTCATTAGAAACAAAATCCAACAGCATTTAAATAAAATAGAAGATTGGTCCATTAAATGGAAAATAAAACTTAACCCTGCCAAAAAAGCAACAAATATCTTCTCAGTCAGATCATTTCCTCCCCCGCCCCACTTCATATAAGTAATAACATAATCCCATGGATCCCACAAAATCAAACTATCAAATATCATGGACAGGATTTAGATACCAAGTTAAATTGGAAAAGGCGAATAACCGAAAAGCAACAACTCATTAAATTAAAATTAATCCAACTAATGTCCTTACTCAACAACAAAAGCAAATTTTCATTAAACAATGCAATAGCCTTATATAAAACAATAATTAGACCGCTGATGCTACGCGTGATGTTACGCGTGCCCAATATGGATCAGTGCTTCGTAAACAAATATAAACCGACTTCAAGTGATGCAAAACAAATTCTTCGGAATAGCAGCCAATGCTCCCTGGTTCATATCAAACAGATAACTCCACAAAGAACTAAACCTATCACCTATATACCAAAGCATGCCCCACCTATACAATAACTTATAATGGACGGCTCAAGAAGTCTATTATTATTTAGTATAAATAAATTCTCAACCCGTATTAAAAACAGATATCCATTCGAAGTATTCCTAAAAAAATTTCCACGCAAAAACTAAAACATTAGGTCCCCTACATCAATTTGTAGTTTGTATAGTGAAATGATAAGTTAGAATAAGACAAAATCCAACAGCATTTAAATAAAATAGAAGACTGGTCCATTAAATGGAAAATAAAACTTAACCCGGCCAAATAAGCAACAAATATCTTCTCACTCAGGCCATTTTCCACCCCCGCCCCACTTCATATAAGTAATAACACAATCAAATAAGTCAACAAAATTAATATGAAGAAGTAAATAATACTGAACAATGGAAACATCAACTAAAATTAAATAAATTTAAAAAAAATATTGATTCATTATTTATCAAAGGCTTATATTTTTAGTTACGTCACTTTTATTTTCGTTGTGCTATGTCTATTCTAGTACAACTAAATCATGGTTTCTTTAAAGAGAAATTAGAAATCATGTACACAAAAATTAACAAAGTAATATATCCTTGTTTCAGTAAATTAAGCAATATTTGTTCATGTAAAATTTCTCATCACATACGAAAAAGAAGGTTTATTATACAAAAAGAGATTAAATATCAAACAAATCTATTAAATAAATTCCATTAGAATAATGTTTCACTAAATTATATGAGTGTGATAAAGAAAGCAATATGAGAGGACTGATCACTGAGAATATTGAATTGAATTGACGCCTTATTTTACGTCGCGAGACTCGGGCCATGAGACTCGCTTTTCCGTCTTACCACGCAAATTTCGCTACGCTCCATTCACCCACTAACAAAGTAAGAGGGTATTTCTTCGGAGGCGAAACAGGCGATTTGAATTTTGCTCAGAGGCGTCATTTAGACTTTATCTTTTATAAGCAAGTGAACCTATGAACATGGGACAGCCGGCTTTACTCCCCCTCCGAAGGAAGGCGTACAAAGAATTTTTTCGCCCTTAAAAAAAATCCACCTCTTCGATTGGGGTTGAACCCGCCAACTTGGGTAACTCAGTACGATACGCTAACCGTTACACCAGCGCCGCTCGCGCATTGCCTAATATTCGACATAGATTATAAGTTTCATGACCACTTTCACATTAAACCACGAAATACTTGATACATTTCAAAGAGATCGGTGAAATGCTTATAAAATATGTATATGTTTTAGAAAATGGCCTCCAAAACTCCTTTGAGAACAAGCGTAAAGCTGAATAGGGAATGACAGAAATTGAATAATTTTATCACTTGAAAGTCAGCTTCTCCACTGAAGAAAACATCATTACCACTTTCAATGCGACAGAAGAGAGAGACCATTTCTTTATACAAGAAATCTAGTGATGTGAATGCGAAGTAGACGAATAATTTCCTTTCTTGAACATAATTACTTAACAGAATCATAGAATTCAAGCAATCAGTTCAAGAAAGTTAAAATTGGTGAATTGACCCAAGCAGTATCAGAGATTTTTGTATCAGAAGATATAATAATACTGATATAATAATAATAATAAATCTAATGGCAAACTTTCATAACATTAAACTGTACAATCATTTTGATATTTTCGTCCTTTCTCATTATTTTGCCTACTTAAATATTATTTCGTCTTCGTAAAATTTGTTACGGTGACGTAGTATTTTAGGTATAATAATTTAAAATGCCAAAGAAAATATTTATGTATCAAGGACAAAAAATAAATGATATTGGACGAGGACCGCACTGGACTCGAGGCTGTAAATCACTAAGTCCTAAATCATTTATATTCAACAAAGGAGCAATTGTATGTTTTAATTTTTGGAGAGAACTCGTTTAAAACATCCGTTTTCGTCGCATGAATGCAATTTTCTTCTGAGTCATCTTTTCTAGTAAATTGCAATTAATGAAGTTG